TTTTTAATTCCATTATATTAAAATCTATCTCGACATTTGGTACCGGTAATTACCAAATAGGGATATTACTTATAGGTATAGGTGAATTAAACCACATATTTCCTATTTTATATTCTTCTGATTTATCTTTTATTATCTACCCAAAACCTTTACCTTTAAGATAATTATAGTCCCAACACTCCTCTATAACACTTTTTGCTATATTTTTATTTCCACATCCCTGTAAAAGACACCAATATGTAACCATAAGCTGATCTTTTCTTAAATCTAAAGGCACTTCTCCTAACTCTACCTGCATTGCTTTAGTTGCTGTTGTTCTCATTGCACCAGTACGATTTCTCATTGCTTTATTATTTACTCTTTCTATTTTCATTAAATTTGTTTTAGCTGCTGCTCCATATATATAACACCTATAATCTATTATTGATCTCATTAACGCCTTATAAATATGCACCAATGATTGTTTAATTGCTCTCCAATCTTTTCCTGCTACTGCTCTCATGAGATTTATGATTTTCTTACATTTCGTCTCTATTTTTTCTATACGTGTTCTCCATCTTCCTTCCTGATCCAACCATATACCAAAATGTTTAAAATGACTTACTGTCTCCATTTTGTGACCATACAATTCCAAATCCTGTTCAGCTATCTTTTTCTTTTTCGTACATATCATATTACAAGATTTACTGTTAGAGAGCTTAAAGCCTCATTTATATGACCATTTTTCAATTTCAGTGATTGCCTCCTTGATTATATTTATTCTCTTGTCTAAATAGCCACATCATCAGCATATAATGCTGATGAAACTCTTCTATCTAATTTCATAAAACCATCATTAATTATTATATTAAATAATACTGCACTAATAGCACTTCCTTGTGGAATTCCATTATTTATCTCAAATTGTACTGAGAGTTCAGATCCTACTTTAACTCTAATTCTTCTTTCTGTTAAAAAATCTAGAATCCAATTATAAAATCTGCCTGCGATGTTAGGGCAATATGTCTATAATTTCCACAATTATTCAATATTTTTTACAGGCTTATTAAATGGCAATATTATCGCTCTTTTCCACCTTTTTGGCATTTTACCTTCTTTCAAAATTTTATTAAATCATTGTAATATCATCTCAAACAATTTCTCTAGTAGTTTCTGAAACATCATATAACTTAAGTTATCTTCTCCTGTTGCGCTATTTCATTCATATTGATTTCTGCATCTAATGCATTTTCCATACTTTCTTTGTAAATAAATATATCTCAACTAGTATATTCTCCATATTCTGTCAATGATTATTATCTAAATGGTTATAATTATAGAGATAACGAGAGAAAACAATTAGTTGTTAAGCCGTGATAACGAGATAGGTATATCGTTATCTCGAGAAAGTACAAAAAAAAAGTTGGGTGTGACCGCTCTCGGCTTCCGTAGAATTTAGTTTAGAATTAATGTAGTGTAATTTACTTTATAAATGTTGCATAACTATAATGGATTATTCACTGTGACTGAGTTTTCAGATTTCCCACTTACTAATCGCTTTAGAATAAAAAATATTTATTTATCAACCATTGATTTTCATTTAAATAAGGTCAGNCCTCTAATTCCCATCATATTTAATTTAATTAATAATCCTTCCCGCCACATTGAATCATAAGCCTTTTCTATATCTAAGAAAACAATGTTCATTATTTATTTTACTTTAAATGCTTTTTCCATCTCACTACTTACTTTCACCACAGCATCCATGGTAGAACGTCCTTTTCTAAACCCACTTTGATATGGTGCATATATTCCTTGTTTCTCAAGAGTATAATTTCATCTTCTTACTAGTATTTTTCCATCCATATACAGAATGTTAGGGCAACAGGTCTATAATTTCCACAATTATCAAAGTTTTTCACAGGCTTATTAAATTGCAATATTACTGCACTTTTCCACCTTTTTGGCATTTTATCTTCTTTCCAAATGTTATTAAATCATTGTAATATCATCTCAAATAATTTCTCAGGTAGTTTCTGAAACATCATATAACTTTAGTTATCTTCTCCTGTTGCGCTATTTCTGATACCCTTTAACACAATTTTATTTCATTCATATTGATTTCTGCATCTAATGCATTTTCCTCCTCACTTTCTTTGTGAATAAATATATCTCTATTTTCAACTAGTATCTTCTCCATATTCTTTCTATGATTATTATCTAAATGGTCCCCATATGCACACTGGCAAACTTCTTTCCCAAAGCATTAGCTTTTTCCTTATCTGTTATTGCAATGATTCCATCATCTTCTAATACTGGTATTTTAACAAATACTTTAGTCCCACTCATTTTCTTCAACAATGTCCAAACCTCTCCTATTTTAACTTCACCTCCTATTGTAAAACAATAACTTATCCATGTATTTATCTCACTGTTCTTTAAAACTTGTGCTTTTTTTCTCTGATAATCAAATTTTCTTGACTCAGATTTTTCTTTAACCTTCTAAATGCTTTATTAAGTTCTTTAATTGCTTTTGTACATTCATCATTCCACCAAGGTATTGTTTTTTTGCTATTTCCCCAATTGATTTATACGGTATACTATTTAATGCCGCATTTAAAATTATCTGAGTGATTTTAAAAGAATTCTTCAATATCTTCCTTCATTGAAATTGATTCAACTGATTTGTTACATATTTCTTTGATTTTTTCCCCAATCTGCTTTTTTGAACTTCCATTTCTTATGAATAGGCCTTTCTTGTACATCTACTTTGACATTGGCTCTGTTCGAATTCATGGGATGCATCCTTAGAAGGCCAGATTCGACGGACGATTACGTCATAGCTCGGCGCCGAGGTCTGATCGAATTCCAAGACTCCTTGTTATGCGGCCTTAAAATGCATCCTTCTTTTTGCCCGATTTGAAGGATGGGTCCGATGTTTCCTGGCTATCCTTGGTTATCCCAGGATTAGAGGAAAGGTTACTTGGCGCCGAACAGTGGTGAAAATCGGTAATTTTGTAATAGCATCCTGTACTTTCCTTACAATAAATTCCAGATTACTTCCTGTCTTCCAAAATTGCCACTGTCATCCACAAAAAGTGAAAAACACATCCCATTCCCTATTTCCCTTAAAACATGGGGAATAAAAAACATGGAGAATAATAACAGACTTATTATGCTTCCGTGAGGTGCTCCATTCTCTACAATATATTTCCTTGGGTATTTCTTCCCTACTCTAAGTCCTTAAATATATTCTTCCTTTGATACCTAATTGAGACAGTCTAATTAAAAATCCTTCTCTCCACATCATATCATGTGCTTTCTCTATGTCAAAGAAGACAGTCACAACACTTTCTGTTTTCACTTGTGCTTTTCTAATTTCATGTTCTAAACATACAGCTTGATCCATTGTATTTCTTCCTTTCCTAAAACCACTTTGGTATTTTGCTATATATCCTTTCTTTTCCTTAAAGTATGTTAACCTTTCATTTGTCATTTTCTCCATTATCTTGCATATGTGGATGTTATAATTTCCTGGATTTATATAATCTTTTCCTGGTTTGCGAATTGGCACTACCACAGCCTCCTCCCGGCTTTGCTGCCCATCCTCCCATACTTTAATATATAGTTCTAGTTGAAGTACATCCTTTGAATTTTCACTGAGGTGATTTATCCAGGAGGGGATTTACCATTAGGCAATACTAGGCAATTGCCAAGGGCCACAGGTTCCTGGGGGGCATTTAAAACTCTGTTAACATGTATAGGTAATACAACTGTTCCTTATTTGTGCACATTAATTATGTTTTTGATAAATATCCTTTCGCTAAAATACATCCAGAAGGCTTATAATATCCAGTTTGTCTCAGCCCAATCCCTCGGGAGGGGGAACAGCAGTAAACCATTTGAAAACAAACAATGTAAATAGCAGTGTTGCGAACTTAGCCTTTTTGTCGCTTCAGACCCCTTCAGCACTTTTATTTAAAAAAAGCGCCTAGCACCAAATCTAGCGACTTTTTTCTGCTACTGGAGACTTTGACGACAACATATAAAAGCAGCGAACTCTGCTCTCCAGAGCAAGTGGATTGGTAACCTTCCTCCTGCTCTCCTCTATCTTGTCTGCTGTCATGATTCATGCAGCTATTATTTTATCCAAATAAAAAATGGAGAACAGATAAGCAGATCATGGCTTGTCTACAGTGAAAAGAAGGACTAGGTTATTTACTTTTGCCGTCGCCTTTTTGGAAATAGAGGGAGGAGCAATCACCAAAGTGAGCTTAGTGCTTGGAAAAATCTTTCATTCCTTTTGAGACAGCATGAAAAGTCAGCTGAGTACAAAACATAGAGAGGAAAACAACAAGGAGAAGGACAAGAAGAGAGGGACAAAGCCTAAAACAGATAATGGATGTCTATTCTATAAACATGTTTGTATCTGTATAATGGGTTTGTTCTATGTGTTGGCTCCTCAATTTAGAGGGCTCCCTGCCTGTTTTTGCCAAGGGCCCCAAATTTCCTAAATCCGCCCCTGTTTAAGGTGCCTAGAGTTTAAATATTCTGGTCCTCACTAAAGCTCTGAACTTAATTAAGAATTTTTTAGTACAGCTAGAAGTTAACCTAAACAGTATTCCTATTTTGTAACTACCTAATAAATTGTGTGTAAATTGTCTGAATTTAGTTTAGAATTAATGCAGCATAATTTACTTTATAATATATGCTGCATAACTATAATGGATTATTCACTGTGACTGAGTTTTCAGAATTTCCCACTTACTAATCGCTTTAGAATAAAAAATATTTATTTATCAACCATTGATTTTCATTTAAATAAGGTCAGAGGTTTTGGCAGGTGTCTTCTTCTTCTTCAATTGATTTGAATGGCGTTTGGCAAACAACATTTTGGTGCATTACCGTCACCAACCATTAAGGAGTGTGGACCAAGACTAACAAGCTAAAAAAAAATAAATAAATAAATAAAATCTTAATTGACATGTTAATTCACAGATGGATGGTTTAACTAATCTGTAACTTCTGGGTCCCGTTCAGGGCCTTTTTAATGCACATGCGTGCTGAACAGCTGACTGCTGAATTAAAATGGCTTCCAGCGGCTGGTCTGAAAAAATCCTGAATCTGCTTCGCCGAATGAACAACTTTTATTTAGCAGGTAGCTCGTTTTAACGCCGCACATCCGGTTCTTCAGCAATATTCAGCCGCCCGTCTCTAACGAGCTGTCTCCGCAGGTTCTGGTCGGTCCAGCTGCTTCAGGTTTGAGATAGACGGAGCCCAGGTTGGCTGGATTCCTCCTCATGTAGCCTCCCTGCTCACACCATACACAGATGTGTTCTCCCCACCACAAGAGGGCGCTGTGTCGCTCTGTTCCAGCCTGGGCTGCTATGATAGAAGGTCAGAGGCCGTGGATGAAGTTCTACAGAAGCTCAGACAGGAGAGCTCCCTAAGCTGCCTCAGAGGATGGAGGGATGAGGTCAGATTCTACACCTCGGTTCTATTATCAGTACTTATTTTAGTAGTGGTGGCTTCATGAAGCATCTTGAAGCGTTTCGACACATTGTTAAATTGCATTGATACTGTCTCGCAGAATACTGACACCTGCTGGACATTTAAAGACACTACAGGCAGCTGATTGGACAGACTAAACTGAATTGATTTGATGACCTGATACCAGGGTCGATTCAAGGATCAGAGGTTTAGGGGTTCTGAGCATCCAGAGAACTGTCTGTCCTGCCATGATTCAATTCACTGTTTTCTACATAAACATTTTCTATATTTTTGAAACTTGCTCAGTGCCTTTTCCCACTTACTCACTCCATAATTCACTAATGCATCTTAAATGAAACTTTTGCGAAATACCCATCAAGCAAAGCACAAACCAGTATTTGTTGTGGAATAATATTTCAACCATTTGAACTAGTTCTCACAAAAGGCTCTTTTTTGTGTGCCAAGTAAGTGGGAACTAAAACAGTCCTAACTGTTAAAGAGTCTAACCTCAAAATAAAAAAGGCAGATTTTGAGATCCTTTGGCTTGGTGGCTGATGTGCTGCTCTCTCTGTCTCTCCTCTTCTTCTCTTTTCCCGCTCTGCTGCCTCATCTCCCTGTTCTTCTCCTCATATAGCGAAATTAAGCAAGTATTAAAGCATATAGATGATTAGGAAAATTTAATAAAGATTGCTTGTTTAGACAGAAGTCTTCCGATATTGTTAAGTGTATAGGTGCTTCAGGAAACCATTAAAAAAATGGGGCGATCCTCGAAACAATAAGGTTCTGATTTATTAAAAGACAAACATTGATTTGGGCTACTTTTACCTCAATTTGGTTTTTACTTTTTTTATTAACAAAAAATAAACTAATTTCCTTGACTAGGCTGTCTGTACACACACTCACACTCAACAGGACTTATAATGTTAATGGAATCCAGTTAGANTGCATTGATACTGTCTCGCAGAATACTGACACCTGTTGGACATTTAAAGACACTACAGGCAGCTGATTGGACAGACTAAACTGAATTGATTTGATGACCTGATACCAGGGTCGATTCAAGGATCAGAGGTTTAGGGGTTCTGAGCATCCAGAGAGCTGTCTGTCCAGCCATGATTCAATTCACTGTTTTCTACATAAACATTTTCTATATTTTTGAAACTTGCTCAGTGCCTTTTACCACTTTCTCACCCCATCATTCACTAATGCATCTTAAATGAAACTTTTGCCAAATACCCATCAAGCAAAGCACAAAGCAGTATTTGTTGTAGAAGAATATTTCAACCATTTGAACTAGTTTTCATGAAAGGCTCTTTTTTTGTGTGTGCCAAGTAAGTGGGAACTACAACAGTCCTAACTGAACTCAAAATAAAAAAGGCAGATTTTGAGATCCTTTGGCTTGATGGCTGATATGCTGCTCTCTCTGTGTCTCCTCTTCTTCTCTTTTCCTGCTCTGCTGCCTCATCTCCATGTTCTTCTCCTCATATAGCGAAATTAAGCAAGTATTAAAGCATATAAATGATTCGGAAAATGTAATAAAGATTGCTTGCTTAGACAGAAGTCTTCCAATATTGTTAAGTGTATAGGTGCTTCAGGAAACCATTCAAAAATGGGGCGGTCCTCGAAACAATAAGGTTCTGATTTATTAAAAGATAAACATTGATTTGGGCTACTGTGGCTTTTTACTTTTCTTTTATTAACAAAATAAACTAATTTCATTGACTAGGCTGTCTGTACACACACTCACACTCAACAGGACTTATAATGTTAAAGGCATCCAGTTAGCTTGTCTTTTATCAGCATCTTTGCTGGCTTCTGTGATTCCAGTTTAAACAGGGGAGTTATACAGAAGACCTGTAACACTGGGTAACTCCTAAATGAACTCATAAAGAGTAACCTCAGCAAACACAAGGACACTTTTTTAATTTTTGTTTGTTTGCTTTTTTCTTTTAGAAATCGCATACAGTATAAAAAGCTATGATTTTAGAGGTGCTTTGATTCAATTTAGGGGTGCTGAAGCACCCCCGAAAATGAGCTAAAAATGCACTTGCTTAGTACAATGATCAAATTTAAGGTATTGAAGGTTATATTGTATTATTTGATATCTATGTTTAAATTGAAAATGTGATGTTTTTAGATGCAGCCAATAAATAATGTAAATATATATCATAACATGAAAATTTAGGGGAAGATGTGAATGAGGATGCTTGTGGACTAGGATTTTAAATCATAATTTAAAACAAAAGGTACAATAAAAACAGTACATAAAGTAGGAGTCAATTTGAAATTAACTTAATTCAGATAAGTTGAGTGATAACTGAGAGGAAAAGGATGACTCAACAAGAAAATTAAAAATAAGACGCAACGGCTATTCCTTTTAGGCTCCAAAATTCTTAATAATTTTAATGATAAACCGTAAAAGATGAGACATGTTTTTAGCAGATGCATCATGTTAACAGATATGTTTTTAAACACAGTTTAGTGAGTCAATTAGAAACAATTCCCGATCGGTAACATGACTTTCTTGAAACGACAGTGTTTTGCCCTTTGGGCTGGACGCATGCACCGATGCATCAGTGTTTCTGGACCCATCACTATATTTTAGTGCTTTTGGAGTATTTACAGTTTTAGCTGATCCATCCACAGGCCCTGTTTCTCTGTGGACGATGACTCCTTCTTCCCAGGACCTTCTTCACCCGTACACGTTTTTTCCTTTAAGTCTTGGGTTGATACACATTTCACACCAACACATTCGTTTCCAGGACACCAACCCATCTCCTTCTTGACTGCTTTGACAGCTGGATGTTCCCTTGCTTCCTATTCCCCATTTGATGTCTTTTAATTTAACACAGGGACATCGAATCATCATTCTACCCAAAGATAAACCAGACATTTGGAGGTCTGCGATTCTCCTGGAATCCTTTCCCATTTCTTGTTGTTCGATGATGTCAGAAAAGGAACTACTAATGTGTATTTCTCTAAAAAAGCTTATGAAGCTACTGTATGATCAACTCATATAAATGCAACGTAATATCAGTGTTTTTAAACTTTTACCTTTAAGTACGGAAATAAAGTGCTTCCTTATCATTGTCATTATTCTATAATTCATCAAAAAAACCTCTGTCCTCCTAAATCACCTTAAACAGCATCACTTTTATTTAAATTCACATCAGACCATTCAGATAACTTTTTATACAGTTTATCTTCAACAATGCATTTTTCTTCAATAAAACATGACTAAGTCTCACCTTTAAAGTGTCATACATCTGTTCTAATTCATTCACTTTGTGTTACTTTACTGATTCAGAATTGTGCCAGTTGATTCTGGGCTGTAGCATCACTTCCATGCATGCTTCAATAATCCAATCTGAGGCGGTCCTATTTTTCAGAGGTACAGTGTGAAGCCCAGGTTCTCTGATCAGCCTCTGATGTGGATGGAAAGAGCAGCTACAAGTACGTTTTAACGTTTTAAGTCCAGAGCTGCGGAGTCTGTTGGTGTTTGATCTGACTTTGCTGTAACTCCAAAGGTCTTTTTGGTGTCAAGAGGTACGGAGTTCATATCAATGGATACACCATCAGTGACAGTGGGGAGATAAGCATGTGGCTAGCCCGGCGCTCTGCTACCAAGCAGACGTATCCTGGACTGCTGGACAACATGGTAGGTGCAGCAGGAGACTGGGAAACCATGTTGATCTTCATCACATTTTAAATGGAAACTGACACAATGGTCATTTAAAATAAAATACCAAAAACAAATGAATCAGATCTCTCAGATCCTAAAATTACTATTTCAGTCCAAAAATGTAAAAAAATTTGGAATTAAATGATGGTGAAGATCACTTTGTCATGAAAGACAAATAACCTTTATAATAGCCTTAATAGCCATTTTGGGAAATTATTAAAATGAAAGCAAGCTTTCCATAATTATTTTTGAAACCATTTTGGTTGATCACAACCATTTTACAACAAATGGAAAATGGTTGTGATCAGACTCAGACCCATGGAGGAAATATGCAGCTGTGCTGCTATATCATCCTCTGGCATGGGAGTTGGCTCGGAGCTCGTCTGCTTGGCTGTGTGTTTCCTGGACTGGGCCGCCTTTTACAGCCTTTTACTTTTCTATGTCTGCTTCTGTCTCCTTGAACCCCAGTCGGCCTCAGCAGATGGCCGCTCACACTGAGCCTGGTTCTGCTGAAGGTTTCTCCCTGTTAAAAGGAAGTTTTTCCTCTCCACTGTCACTACAAGCATGCTTAGTGTGAGGGATTGCCTTTGAGTCAATGAGTCAATGAGTTGATGCAATCAACTGGTTTTGTTTAGATAGGAAACTTTGAATGCCTTGAGATGACGTGTTGTGAATTGGCGCTGTATTAAGAAACTGAATTGAATTGAATTTCCTGAAGTGTTGGTATCTCTCCTCAGGCGGCTGGAGGTCTTGCTGCTGATGCTGGAATCAAATACACTCTGATTAAAGAGTGTGAAGAGGAGGCATGCATCCCAGCAGACATAGCCATAAAGGCTCATCCCATATCAACTGTGAGGTGAGCTGAATTCTGCTCATAATCCCTCAGTAGAAAAGTTGAAGGACAACAGGAGGTGTTACTTATCCCTGCTGGCCCACTCCTCATCTTCCCTCTGACCAATCTGCATCTGTTCATCTAGTGGTCTGACTTTAGTGGATCTTTCGCTTTTATCTTATCTCATGTATTTATTCTCTACTTGCTGTAATTTAAGGCATATTACCAGATTATATTATTTTCTGACACCTTGACCACCAGGAGGTGAACATCTGAGGTCTTTTGTATTATTATTAAAGTCCACCACAAAATAAAACATCTGCAAGGAGGAGGATTTTGTCTAGTGGAGATCTTTGGATGTTTTTATTAAAATTCCCTTCATATTGCTTTGTGTTGATAAAAAAAATAAACAGATTCTTCTGCTGTTTCCAGCTGAAGCTGATTTAAAACTTTAAAGGAAAGCCCGGTTATATTCAGAAATCAAACTTCTGAAAGTATTTTAAATATGAAATTATTACATACTGTTCAAAAAATGATAAGTGTTTTTAATTAAGAGTAATTTTCATTTAAATGTGCTTTACTGGAGGCATCCATGTTTGTCAAAGAACTCTACTGAGGGTGTGCAGGTGGAGCAGTGGATAGTGCGTTTGACCCGGGTTCGAATCTGGCCTGTTCTCCTTTGCCGCATGCCTCTCCCTCTGTCATACCCCTTTACTGCCAGCCTACTGTCAGAAAAATGCGCCACTAGGGCCATAAAAAAAAAAAAAACACTACTGCCACCCACTTGTTTGTGACGGTGCGGTATCGGCTGTTGATCAAGTCCCAGTGCTGCATCTGGTGTTTGTCACAATTCTCCTTCTGGCCGGAAGTTTGAAGGCAAATCCTCCCTCTTCAAGTTGGCAATTCAACGACGAACCCGTCCGTTGAGGATCAGGAATTGGAAAGGTGAAATAACACATTTTTTTTAATTTTCCCGATGTATGCCATGCACGTGGGCATTGTCAGTTTCACTATAGCTCTGGTGAA